GGAACCAGAATATTCCGAGGGAAATACAATCCGTCGGAACGTTTCCGAGGGAATATTCCGTCGGTATGGAACATTTCCGATGGAAAATGCAATTTTCGCCGGAATTTTTGAATTTTCCGAGGGAATTAAATTCCGTCGGAACAATTCCCTCGGAAATAAGCCTATTTCTAGTAGTGATGTTATCTTACTCTGGTTTGAGTGAAGGGTTTTGGGGTGAAGCAATGTTGACAGCTTGTCACATTCTTAACCGTGTTCCCACTAAGGGAAAAGATTCCACTCCTTATGAACTTTGGTACAAAAGATAACCTAACTTGAGATACTTGAAAGTGTGGGGTTGTAGGGCAGTTATAAGAGTGCCCGGTAACAAAAGAGAAAGCTCGGCGAAAGGGGCTTGGAATGCATTTTTATAGGTTATGCTGAGCATAGCAAAACCTATAGGTTCTATATTATTGAAAAATATGACTATATTTCGAAACATTCGATTATTGAGTCAAGAGATGCAATCTTTGATGAAAACCGATTTTCATCAATGGGTAGACCTAAGGATCTACAAGCTAGTACCAAAGGAAAGGAGATTGTTGATTTTGATGATCAACTTGAATCTCATGAATGTTCATTCGATAATGAGAATGAGACTTCTAATGTTAGAAGAAGTAAGAGACAAAGGAAACCTAAGAAATTCGGAGATGATTTTATAATTTATTTAGTTGAAGGTTCTAGGGATATTCTTAGTTCTGCTACTCCATATTGCTTCAATGTGGATAGTGACCCAAAATCTTATAGCGAAGCCATATCTTCTCAAGATAGTGCATTTTGGAAGGAAGATATAAATGATGAGATGGATTCCATCATGGGAAATAATACTTGGGTCTAAGAGGATTTACCTCCCGGTTGCAAACCTCTTGGTTACAAGTGGATTTTCACTAGGAAAAGGAGACCGGATGGCTCCATAGTGAAATTTAAATCTAGATTGGTTATCCAAGGCTTTAAGCAAAAGCATGGTGTTGATTATTTCGATACCTATGCACCGGTTGCAAGAACTACCTCCATAAGGTTATTGATTGCAATGGATTCGGTATATAATCTAGTGATTCATTAAATGGATGTCAAGACGGCATTCCTTTATGGAGATCTAGAGGAAGAAGTGTATATGAAACAACCCGAAGGGTTTGTTTTGGAAGGACAGGAAAATAAGGTGTGTAAATTGGTTATGGACTTAAACAAGCACCAAAACAGTGGCATCGGAAATTTGATGACACGGTTTTGTCCTTTGGATTCAAAGTGAATCAAGCTGATAAGTGTATATATAGCAAATTTGATGACAAAGGTCATGGTGTCATCATTTGTTTATATGTTGATGATATGCTTATCTTTGGTACAAGTCTACTACAAGTAGAATTGACCAAAGAATTATTAACCTCATCTTTTAAGATGAAGGATTTGGGGGAGGCAGATGTAATTTTGGGCATCAATATCATTAGGGACAATGGAAGACTTATTCTAAGTCCATCTCATTACATTGAGAAGATGATCAAACGGTTTAATATGTTTGATAAGAGCCCTGTTAATACCCCCATGGAACCTAATGTTAAATTAGTTAAGAATTCGGAGAAAACGATTTCCCAAATGGAATATTCAAATATAATTGGATCCTTGATGTATGCCATGACAAGTACAAGACCAGATATTGCATTGGCTGTGGGAAAACTTAGTAGATTTACTAGTAACCCAAGTGTTCAGCATTGGTTTGCAATTCGGAGGGTCTTGAGGTACCTTAAGGGTACATTGGATTATGGTTTGTCTTATAGTGGATTTCCTTCGGTTTTATAAGGATATTCTAATGCAAGTTGGATCACTTACAAAGAAGATGACTCTTCTGTAAGTGGTTGGGTGTTTATGTTTGGAGGAGGTTCCATTCCATGGTCTTCCAAGAAACAAACTTGCATTGCCGATTCCACTATGGCAGCGGAGTTTATTGCTTTTGCCTCAGCTAGTAAAGAAGCTAAATGGTTGAGAAATCTCATGTTAGAGTTGTCTTTATTGCCTAAGCCAATGTCACCGGTGGCTATTCATTGTGATTCAAATTCAGCTTTGAGAAAGGCATATAGTCAAGTGTATAATGGTAAGTCTCGGCATATTTCACTTAGGCATAGCCTAGTGAAAGAGCTTATCAATGATGGGGTCATAAGTCTTGACTATGTTCCTACGAAATTGAATTTGGCGGATTACTTTACTAAAGCAATGCCAAAGCATTCCATCATATTTGCTTTGACTGGAATGGGTTTATGTCCTAAAACACAAATTTGTGAAACCCAATCTAACGCGTGAAGAAACATCAAGTCTTAGATTCAATATGGTTGAATTGCATTTTTGTTGTTTGTTAGCAATTTTTGATGACCCATATTGCTATGGTACTTGTGATGTGCTAGGTAGCATTTATTTAAAGTTCTCAAAGATTTAGAGTTGAGAAACTCTAGATGAAGGTGTCTTGTCACAAGGACACTATTACGTATATGAGAACCTACCTATATAAGTTCGAAGTTTAGCCGCTTCAAGAAGTCTAGATGGACATATAGACTTTGATGAGCTTATGAAAGATACGGACACATGGTTGTATAAAAGTGTCAAATGATGTTAAATTCGATTTATCTTGCGTGTATTTCACCTTCGAATGGTCAGAGATATCCATGTGATTCAATCCATAGGGAAATCATGGGATATGATCATCGTTAAGTGTGTTGCACTAGGTGTCAATTCAATCCGTAGGGACATTGGCATTGATGCATGAGATGTGGCTTAATTGATAGAAGTAGAGAAAGTTTAAAAATATACACTCTAAATAGGGGAGGATTGTTAGAAAATTTAGAGTGTATGTGGAGAGGCCTCTCCGAGGGAGGCCGCGTCCACGGTGGATGTGGGTCGCGCCCGCGGTGGGTGGGCCACGCCCGCTCCAAGCCCGCGGCCGGGCATCTCCAGAATCACAGGGTGAAACTCATTTCACCCTGTCCGCGCCCGCGGCCCTAGCAACCGCAATTTTCTGTCGTTCTTTTAATTGTGAAATTACAAGAAGAAGTGGGGATATTCAGTTTTCTCTCTTCTGGATATTCATTCTTCTCCACAATTTCTTTGAAGAAACTTGCAATCTCTTCTAGAAATCCTCTATCAATTAAATTTGTTTTGAGAATTTGATCATCTTACTACAATTCTTAGTGCAAAGATTGTGGTGTTCGTCTATTGTATCTCAAAGTGACTTTCCGGTTTCAACCCAAGCACCGTGGTGGGGGAAATAATCACTTTAGGAAAGTGTTTATATGCCTTAGACGAGTATCAAGTATTGAAGACTCACGTGGTCATTCCTATTCTCATTGTTCTTGTTGTTTTTCGTTGGCTTGGAGTGAGGCAAGTGTTCATCTTTCATACTTGTAGTTTAGTTTGTGTTTTTCTGTAATTAACTTTCTAAACTTGTTAGTGCTTGGTTTGTCTGTGGAATTGGTTATTATTATTTTCATTGTACTTTCTTTCAATTCCCTCTTTTCTTAGTACTAGAATTTGTACTATTAGGAATACTTCCTAACAAATACTTGGAAGAGTTGGAACTGCATCAATGGCAGCGACAAATAAAGAATTTTATTTTCTTTTTCTGTAAAAAACAAAGTAGTTTTTAAAATTAATTATAATTTGGAAGTCAAATATATGAATGGCCAAGATTGATCATTAATATTAAACGGTTGAGATGGAAAGTAGTTAATTAATTATAAAAATATTCTAGTGTAAACCTTAATAATTAATTTTTTTAATTTCTTTTAAATAGAGAGAAGCAACTTAGATTAATCTTAACAACACGCTTCTTTGCGAAATATAAAAGTTAGTGTAATCCTAATACTAATACGTGGTAGTATAAATAATAAATAATATATAAAAATAACAAAAAAATAAATAAATTATAAAATTATACGGTACTTGTATAAGCCTTTATATTTTTTTTTTTAATAATAAATAGAGAGAAGCAAGTTAGAAAATAGAAGAGGCCCTACCTCCAATTTTACAACGTGAGAATAGCATCTAGCCAACTGCAAGAGAGAAACTATGAAAGCATGCAAGGGAAAAAGAAGCAAATACTGGTACTTTCGCTCTTCAAATTGGCATACATGTTATGCAAGACAAGGAAGAGATTGCTCATTTTCAACGTGCTAATTTACCCTTTAATGGATTTAAAATCTTGTGCTATGAAAATTAATATCTTTTTCTTTTTTCAAATTTTGCTAGTCAGTTTAAAAATTTTAGGGCGAATTTAACAACAGCTTTTGGAGTAACCTTTGATGCTTTCACCAATTGAAAGCTCAAATAATCAATTAATTAATTGTATTTGGTAAAGTAGTAGTGAATAATTGTTTATAGTTTGTGACGTAGAGTTGTACAAAAGCTTTTTAAGTAGGGAGATATCAAAAGCTAATTAAAATTTTATTAAATTACCAATAATTTAACAATGTATAACAAATCACTAATTTGTATTGAGCAAATTCACCAAATAGCTCATTAAACAGTTTACAAAGTTACTTATAACAATTAATAATTGACAGATACCATCTACTTTCACAACTAACATCTACTTTCACAACTACCAACTAGTGCAAGGCTACAACAACGGATTTTACCGAATATGTCTCATAGGTAAAAAAAAAATCCGTAATATCTCCAATAGCATTCCCCTTTAGAAAAATTATAAATATCCAACCAATAAAATTGACAAAAAGGAACTTAAAAGTTTACATGTTTGAGAAATAGTATAATGTAATAACAATTGCTAAACAACGTGTAGCTCATGCCCAAATTAAAACCTTTCTTCCAATTTTCCAAACCTTCATTTTGACGTAATTCTTTTTTTGCACTTTGCACTTACTTTTTCTCTTTGATTCAATTTCTTGTTTAACTATACAAAGCTTTGAACAACCACTTGTTCTAAATAAATGTTTGTATAATATATTCACTTTTCCCTACACCTTATTTTGTATTTCAAGCTAATAACTTTCTCTACAATTTCTCTCTCTAAAAGTGCATTTTTCCTATAATGGGGAGGATTCATGGAAATCACTTGAATCTAAGCTTGCTTCATTCACCAGCTTTTTCTTCTAATTCTTGGCATGATTTCAAGTAAGTTTCACTTCAAATTCTTTCCTTGGATCAATCTTGATTACTAAAAAACAACCGTGCATTAATTAATGACATACATAAATATAACTCATAAATCTATATCGCTTATGTGACTGTCATAGACAAGATAGAATTTAACACGACATTACATATGTTTTTTTTCATAAAATGTATACTCCGTAGCTATTATTTCAAAATTACATGTGTTGTCACGATCCATAGTAACTCGATCCTATGTTACATATTATTACTTGTATTTCTAGTATGAGTTATTCATTACCATTGTTGTAAGAAATTGTGTTTGATGAAATGTTGTACAAACGATTCATATGTTAGTATGAAAGAAGATGAGAAGGATCAACAGATGATATTCTACAACGGCCGTGTTTGTGTTTTGGATGCAACCGAATTACAGGTACATAGCTACTCCACGGGTTAGCCCTCGAATTTAGTTCAATAGCGCATGTAGTACTTACCTTCTTTTAGAGAACAAAGTTATTCCTAATGGCTCAATTGTAGACTTGTGGTGTAACCATTCACATGTATGCAGGCAAGAGCAATTTTATGGTCAGCAACACACGACGTAGAGAGAATGGTGAAGACGATGTCTGGAATCGGAGCAAACATGGCCACATTCTTCCTAAAACTTCAACTTCATGGTCTTCCTGGTTGTTCGATAAAGAGATCATTAAGATTGTTTCTCCAACAAAAGAGAAAGATAAGGAGCCAAGCAAATACTCCGTATCCCTACCGTCTCCAATCACACAACCTTCGGCCTTTTCACCTTCTATAGGGGACTCTACAACTATGTGAAATCGTATAATTTTTCAGATTTTGGATACTCATCCTATTATCAGATACCAAATTTCAATACAACTATGCTGTTGATTTGAGTAACAACTTTTACCTCTTCACTAGTTCATTGTTTATCAAAATTGATTAGTAGTTTCGAAATTTGGGTTGAAATTTAGAAGAAAAAGGTGCCCTCAACCAGATTTGTAAACTCCTGTCAAAGGAGAAATATACTCCGTAGATGGGAGAAAAAGAGAGCATCCAATATTGGTTGAAGAGAAAGGCCATAGTATCAAGACACGAGAGTCCAAGGATTAGCTTGCATTTGAGCCCTTCATGCATAGTCTCCAGCTTACGGCTAACATTTGCATGTTTTTGGTTCATCTAAACTGATAAAAGTCCTTAACAAAAATTGCACCAAGTATGACACTCTAATCGCCCCGCCAACGCATCAACATCCCCACCCCCGAAAAAAAAAAGAAAAGAAAATGAGAGAGATATACTAACATCTTAACTTCTCAAGTCTACCTGTATGTGAACTCTGCTGCATATTAATGAATATAATATAGGGGAGCTTTTAATGGAGCAGGTGATTCTCTGACAATAAGCACCTGCAAATATTAATTAAGCTTCTGACAACAAACATACTAGCTACAACAATAATACAATGATGGAAGTGTTGAAGTTACATCTGCAATACTGCCCTGCAGAGAGGAAGTCGCGTGACTCGCCCAACAGTAGTTCAGGGACATCACACAGGATAATTTACAATGTTCTGCCAGTCGCGTTATGCGCTATTACCTTAAAATTAGCTGATAAACACAGTTCGATTCCACAAAAGCCCAGTTGGATAATGAAATAGGGAGTTCCGGGCTAAGGGCGAAGATACACATTTTAGGCATCTGCTTGTAAGCCACCTTATCCGAGCTCGATGGTTTTCATGTAGGTAGTACATCCTCAGCAATTGGCACCAGTCATCAGTAATCAAGAGAGGTTACAGATGCCATCCCATTGCTATTGTGTCTCAAGTCCTGTTGAAGTGTGTAGTCATCACAGCTGTTGAAGCTGTTTTGGTGCTTGGGCCTTGATATCGAATTTGGAAATTCAAGGCCATCTTTGCCCATCTGCTGCACTTCTTGAGGGGATAGGATCTTGATGTACCCCACATTGTTTACGAACTCCCTGAAAAAGGAATTGCATTGTTTGGTTAAACAGATGAATCAAGTAAACATAAAATCATGAAATACACCATACATAGATAAGAATATAACCACTAAGGCACTATCCTCTTGTGTTTTCTTTCATGCAATTACTGATTATTAATGATTAAAATTGGGTTTTGATAATCAAAACTAAGTTTTGCTGATTATATGATTTGTACTGAATATTTTTTATTTGAAGTTGAAGAGAAAATCAGCTATTGTATGAGCTAGCATATCCTCACAACACCAAAATTTAAAAGCATATTATATCCTAAAAAAAGTTAATATCCACACGAGGATGTAAGCCAGGTTGCAAGTTCATTTGCATTTGCATTTCCAAACACAAAAAGAAAAGAAAAAAGAAACGATTTAAGCCTTCCCTTTCTTGCCTCGCCCATGTGGTTCAGGGAGATTATTTCTGTTGATTATGTTCGAAAAAACAACAATTGAAAGAGGATTTTACCAGGGAACAATGGGCCAAAAATATTCAGCCAGTGGGAATTGCTCAAAAAAGATTAAGAACTTACGGCCAGGGGTCATCGCCAAGCAGGAGAACGTCATTCTCACGGTCAACAAATACAAGCTGCCAGCCTGATCTCAGGGGATCCTCCAGTTGGCCTTCTAAGCCAAACAAATGAGCAAGTTCACTGCGCAGTTCATGATAACTGCTAAATTTAGATATATCCAGTGATCGCCCAAGGGACCCCAATTTCTGAACCTGTCACACAAGAACTTTATAAGTCCCAATAAACGAACAAGATTATAGTTGCTTGCAAGAAACTAAAGTATGAGAGAAAGTTGTAATGAGAAGTGGTAATGAGGCTAGTGACTATCTAAAAAGCAACACAGCTAGAAGAAAGTTAAGAATTTTTTCCATTTATCCAGACATAGGTCTCACACCATGGCCAAGCAAGCTAATCTCCATAAATATCCTCTTAACTCTTCCAAAACTATCAAAATACATGCAAGTAAATCCCAAAAGATGCTAGACATGCCCACTGTACCTCAAGTGTAAAAAGCCTCAACCAATTCATTTTCAAGTGTATTTTTTTATATGCATCTTAAAACTGGCTCGTTAATTGAATCTTATTCTAAACCAACAACTTCTGGACAGAGCCCCAAATTCATTTCCGAAACAGCCAAAAATATATTCTCAAGGTTCTCATTTAGTTGATAGATAAGATGCATTAAGGTTATAGAGGAGCAGAATTGTAGGAGATGCAATGTGAATCTCCTATAATTCCCTTCTTTCCTCTTCCTCTTTTCTTTCTTTTGACTTCACGTATGCTCTCTTCAAAATCTTATTTACAGAAATCATAACAGTCATTAGCTCATCATTTATAGCATCTCCTATAGGCTATATTCTAGCATGTATAAGTGTAAAAGAACAGCTTTAAGTTCAGAGGCTACAGTACAAAAGGTCATTAGTTACACGATTAAAAAATTCCAAGACTAAAAGACTCACCTTTACAAAGGTTCCACTAGGTGGGTTCGCTTGATCATCATTTTCCGATGACTGCAAGAACCCTGATTCATCAACACAACTAGCAGTCATCATATCAGAAGCAGGTGAAAAATCAGTCCCGGCAGCACTTGGAAAACTGGAACAAGCAAACGGCATGGACAATGAGTCATTCTCATTGTTACTACTTCTGAGGTTCGCCAGCTCATTCTGCTGAGCATTCACCCCAAATAATATATTGTTCTGTGTATCACCAATCCCTTGGTATATAGAAAATTCCCTACCGGGCAAAGGTGGTAACAAAGAAGAGAGATCAGAGATCCTAGTTTGTGTCCCTCCTAGCTCTTCAACTTGAGGCAACGAGCACGGGGCAGTACTAGAAGAAAGCTGAGGAGGTTCAACTGCAACTCGCTTCGATAATAAGGGAGTAGAAGATACCAAAGGGTTAGAGACAGGTATATTAATTTGTCGGGATCTCCCATCGTGTGAGAATGAATTCAATAAACTATGCATCGGAGAAATGCCAGCTGCAGTAACAGAGTTCATGATCGAGTTCGAGAACATTTGCTGCGAGCATGCAGAAGAAATTGCTTCCAAGGATGTAGGCAGGGCCTGAGTTGATGACCCAAACGAAGGAGTCTTGCTGTTGCCAATAACCTTTGGAATTTGTTGTTGATCAGAAAACTGACTTCGTAGTTGCTCAAAGTGTGGAAGCTGCTGTTGTTGTTGTTGTTGCTGCTGCTGCTGCTGCTGCTGATGCTGTTGCTGCTGCTGATGCTGCTGCTGTTGCTGCTGCTGATGCTGCTGATGCTGATGGTTATCATATGCACGGGAATTTTGCAGTTGTTGCTGCAGGAGCTGACCTTGGACTTGATTGTGAGTCACATTTTGGTTTTCTTGAAAGTTCGGAACTAAGTTCTGCTGTGATTGAGCTTGCTGCAACAAATGATTTGTTAGGGACGACTGCTGGCAAGACACATTCTGATTTGGCTGGAACTGGAGAAGAGATTGGTTAGGACGCTTCTCCAAGCCCCGTGGATCTTGTAAAGCAGCAGATGCCATTGTTTGAAATATATCAGGTTGTAGGCCCAACATAGCAGGGTCCAGCCTTGGTTGCATCCAGGGTGTGAGCCCATAACCTTGGAAATTTAAGGATGACATGCAACGATCTCCAACCTCTCTCTGGAGCCACATAAGCGGAGAATTGAGGCCCATGTCACCATCCTTCAAAACTAACCATGAAATATACAGCGAAAAAGAAAGTTGAAAAGAGAAGGTGCACAGACAAGAGCAGAGAACAAGAGTTAGTTTCTGATACACAAATCAAACAGACAATTACAGCCAAGCTAAAAGCAGATGAACCAACCTGGAAAGGATGGCAGACCCGATGGCCATGGACGCTTCAGTCTTAGTGGGAATGGAGAGGGATACATAGGAAACGTAGTCAAAGGTTCAATCTCCCATAAAGAGACCCGGGGCTGCCTTTCTCCAGCAGTGGACTCATCCCAGCCAACCTGTATGTACAGAAGTTTTCAGTGAATAATGTTTTTAATGTTCTCACATCTCAGACCAGTTTCCTATAATATATTAGCCACAGACCAGGTCAGATCCAAATAGAAAAGCATACAAGTAATCAGTTAATGTGTATCAGTACCCACACCACAAAGTTTAACACTAATACCCCCAATGCTAAAGCAGAGAATTATTGATCTAGAATACACATACAGAGAAAAATTACTTGCAGAGGTAATAAAAATCGCTTAATACTTCGTATAATCTAAAAGGAAGGAAGTGAGAAGACTTGACGTACCTTCACTGAACGCCAATGGGAGTTTGGCCAACGAACAGGATCCAAATCACTAATCCCCGTAATTGTGCCCATATACCTACATTACAAAGATGTCAATGGAAAGTGATGTCAATCCAACAACCCATCTCACAATCTTATCTGGAAAAACAAATTGCAACACAAGAATCTGAATTTATCTAAATACAGGAAGAAGGCTTTGTGGAAAAGGGAAAAAAAAAATTACTTTTGGGTTTGCCACAAATTTTTAGGATTTAGCCGACCCCAAATCATTTTGGACTAAGGCTTTGTTGTTGTATCTTTATTTTGTGAATAGAAAATTCAATAAATGACAGCAGAGAGGAAAAGGGTTGATGCGACAGTGAGGAGGAAAAGTTAATGTGAAGCAAAAGTGTGAATTATTCTTGAAATAGCCCAAAATAGGAAAGAGGGAATAATTATGAGACAGAGGAAGCAACAGGTAGATCCCAGCCCTCCCTACGCGTCCCACCCAAACAGAAAATATGGAACTCATCAATGACTTTCTTTCCACCAGCCACTACGACTTTGCTAACAATCTTTAAAAAAAAAAAAAAAGTAGTTTGAAAGTTTTAACTGAAATACCAAACAACTCTACATATGAGCCTTCTACACATCAAGTACCATAAACCCTGAGGTCTCATGAGAAGTTCAGTTATAAAGTCACAACAATCAGTCTGCTTTAATAAAGATACATCCTATAATACTACTTTCTTTATTAACTTGTGTGAAAATTTTCACCTCTATCTGTACCTTCTCTATTATCCACTGAACTCATTTGTCATGAAATGGCAGCCTAACTATGGCTTTTGAATCAGCAGCCTTTAAGAAAAAACCTCTATACATTGTAGTCTTGCAGAAATACAGATGCATACATCTAAATCCTCTGCTCAATCCATATCCCCTAAATAACTTTCCACATATGGAAAAT